TTGATTCTATGTGGCAAAGCAAAGACATAAAATGTCAGAATTATTTTTTCATTTAATATAAAATTGTTCACTATATTATTTAGTTCTGTGTTACGAATAAAAATTATATTCTATTAAAATTATCGATTGTTATTTAAAATGTTGGTTTTTTTCCCGATCATTTTAGCGGTGTATTAGATAATTTTTCCACAAGTCATTAAAATATGGAAATAAGTTTATTTTTATGGTAACGTGTATATTTTTATAATCATTGTTTAGTGAATCAAACTGTTTACCTATATTATGTCTTTGTTCATCACCATCAAAATAGACAGTGTAATATTTTAAATTTATTTTCACAGTTTAAACTGTCCACCTGAATCAATCATAATATAGTAATCAGGGTTTACCAAATAGCTATAATAAAGTATATATTATGTATACTCATTTTTTTATTTTAGTTCCAAAATTAGCAAAACTTTTAAAAACTAAAAGAACTGCTTGGACAGGATATTTTCTTATTGATTTTTATATACCTAGGTATATTTTTAAAATGTTAAGCATACTTATATTAATTATTCCCTTTCTGAATTTAACTTTAAATGTTATATAAATATTATCTTTGTTTTCGTATTCACACAATTCACTTCAATACATACCTACATGAGTACATGACACTAATACTTTGTTCGGCACTCGATAAGACCACCATCACTAACCAGCTTGGCTAAAGCGTAACAACGATAGACGTAGACGAACATAGAATAATTCAGAGAGAATCTTAAGTGCTGATTTTAGATTTGATTGCCTTAAGCTCATTATTATCATGATAAATCAGAGCACATATATAGGTTAACTCCATAATATATATATATGACCTTTTCATTAAGTCTCGTATTTCAGGAGGAGGTAATGGGTGAATCACTATAATGGATCCTTAGACGAGCTTCATATACTACACTTCTTATATTTCAGTTACATTTATACAAATAATTTGCTTGAAGTGCTTATTTTACAAATAATATTTGCTATAAATACTAATTGAAAATTATTATTATCTACGTTTTTTTTCTTTATATGATGCTAGAGTATGCATGTTAACGTAATCAAGTTGTAACGAGAATTAAGAATCATAAAATAATACATTAATATTGTATCATTAACTTTTTATTAGGTTTGATTTTTGAAACTTTATTTATTGGTATTTACTTAAATTTATACTTTATTACCCAAACGAAAGTATAACAACTGGAGATGAAAATATCAAAAGTCATAACGTTGTTCAAATTCTTATAGAACGTACTTTCTCTTGTGTACCTAGTTGATTTGTTGACACTTTTTTATGTCAAAGTAATAATAATATGGATGTTTGATCATGATAAGTGTAAATAGACAAACATTATTATCCAAAAAAATATTATCAGTTTTAAGCGTCATATTTTTTTTATGGCATTGGCAATAAATAAATAAATGTTTAAGTGTTCAATGTATATGCTCTGTCAAAATAGATTTCGTTAGTGGTTATAATATAATATTATTATATCGTATAATATGTGGAAATTCAATTAATTTTCAAGTCAACCATCAAGATGTCAGGTGATTAATTAAAAATATATTTCATCTTTCTAAAAATAAATCATATTTTATCAGAGCATTTTATCGATTATTTATTTCAAAAAACATATAATGAAAAGTGATTCATAAAATATATTAGATGCTGATTTCTATTTTATTGGATTTTAAAATTGTATTTAAAATATATGAAAAATTCTAATACATACAATAGCTTTTTCGCTTATAATGTACAGGTACCTAATACGAATTGAAAATTCCACAAAACAACATTTTCTGTTTAACGGAATATTTCTATGAACCATACCAAATTAGAACCAAATTTATTTAATTCTATTTATTTTAACAAAATTCTCTATACGTAATACGAATTTTGTTTGTTGCCCACGAGATTTCATAGTTCGTAATATTGAAGTTTCACTGTACATATCATAAACACTATTTATTCTATTTGTATTGTAATACTATATATTAATGTACAACTATCTTGTAGGTACTTTTGGAGAGAGAAAAACTACAGCTTCCATAGTCAAAACACGGTTTGGGGGAAGAATTGAAGATGGTCATTAACGTCATCAATACACATATCGATATTTTTGTTTTCAACAAATTTCAAACAAATTTTTCTAGTAAAAATATGAACCAAGATACGTAATAAAATAGTAAAATAAATACATTTAGTGTGAAATTATAGTTCGTATAATTAAAACATACGATTTATAGTAAAATTGGTGACATGAACAAAGCGAGATAAGTGGACAGCATGACAACATTCGGTCCCTGTATTCTGCGACCTGCAGTTTAGGTTTTTTGTTTTAGTATATGTGAACAATATTTTATATAGTACTTACATTAACCAAAGGTTTGAATGTATGAAATAAATACTAGGTATATTAGACCTCAAAATGAAGTCATACTGGTAATTTTTTTGGTGTAAAAATTAAATCTAAACAAATAATTCAACTCGTCGATAGATATTTAAATTGTTTATAGATTCTAGATTTAAATATAAATTTATAAATAGGAAATACCTAAATTAATCTTTTATATTCTAATTTAGTTTTTTGTTTAAATTACCTATTAAAATAAGTACCTACCTACATGTTTGTATTGTTAAATTTAGTTTATTAGTTATTTTTTTTTTAAATGAATATTATAATTTATAGTCATTACTTATTAGTTATATGATCCTTTACACACCATTAAAAAAAGGGGGGAGAATGAGTCTAATAAAACACAGATATTAACTATAACATGTACCCATATCCATATGTCATTTGTTTTATATTTTTCAAGAAAATTATGTCGTGCAAAAATGTAGGTAATCAAGTTTCCGTTTTAAATTATGTTATCTCCAAAGGCCATTAATCTAATAGATCATAGTAGTCGTGAATACTATGATTTTTTACGGTATTTATCCTATCCTGCAGAATACCTACCTAAGTATATTACTATTCATAATAGTTAGTACTACAATATATATTATACAAAATAAAAAAATGTATTCTTCTTGCTACAAGCTATTTCAGTGTTATATAAATAAATATTTTAATATTTAGAACAATATTATTAGTTATGTGGTTGAATAGATACTGTGTTAATAACAATTTAACCTTCGTTACAGATCATAAAAATATACATCTTTGATTTATACGAGCTGATATCTTCTCAAGTGGAAAAACTAAAAGTTGCTCTTTCGACGAACAACTATTCAACCACAAATTGCAGGATTCACGAGAAAAAATCCTGAAAAAAAGTGATACATCGTGGAAAATTAAGTTTATTAATTAGGTCTCACTAAATATTTATTTATTTAACTGAGTAAAACAATATACTATTAAGGTCTTGTTTTATAATATAATAATATAGTAGTGCTATTTGCCGGAAATGTTTACGTTCTCTGTATTTATTCAAAAATGTCGTCATGTATACGTTAAATAACTTAATACTTAACCAACAAAATATTATCAAATTTATTATGCAGGTATATTTACTCACTCATGAAACAGTTTAAACGCTTTAAGTTTAAGATGTGAATAATGTGTATAAGAATTTTAACTGGTATTCCCAAACAATAACATTTCAAACTATGTAAAGTGTACAAGTAAATACCTAATTCAAAAATATTCGACAAAAGCTTTTCATATAGAACACACAATTTTGCTTGATATTAGTACTCAAGAAAATAACTAATATTTTATTATTAAACCCATATGTTAGATTGGTTTATTATATATATTTTAACCTAGCCAGCTGGAGATTAAGGAATAGATAAATAGATTGATTTTCTATACAATTTTTTAATGACAGAAAAAGTTAAGAATAACGGTTTGTTTTAATTCAATAATAATACAACTATGGAAAAAAGTTAATATGATAATATTTAATATTTAAAAATTACACACATAACTTTTGATTTATTGAACATTATTATCTATGTTATGTTAAAAAACGTTTACACCTAATTATCTACTTATAATATTTAGGTACATATGAAAAAATTAAAACTAAAAATATAATGAATAACAACAATATTCGTGTTGATAGTGTGTGTAATGATTGGGGACAGGTTTATTTTGTTTTTTTGTTTTGTTTTTTTGTATGAGGTTATTAACATAAAATTAATTACTATGTCTGGACTATTACAATATCGTCAAAAACAAAAAAAAAAAAAAAAAAAAAAAAACAATAGTAGTAGTGACAGAAAATAAAATAAAAAAAAGTAAAACGATCGTATAGCTCACACTGTTTTCATTTTTTTTAGGTTTGACTAATTGTGTAAGGATACGTTTTATTATAATTAACGTTTGTTGGGAGAAAGGGCATTAATCGGAAAAAGTTGAGAGCGGAGAGAAGAAATGAGATAGTGTTTATAGTTTTATATTTTTTAAAATACGAGAAACATGCAAAATAGACTAGTGGTCTGTTTGGACAATTTAAGATAAAGACTCATTTTAGTTTCGTATATAAATAATTCGAAAGGTTCACGTATAGTAACATAATTTAACATCGGAAAAAAAAAACAAAAACAGGAATTTTTTCTCAAACAAGTGAAATACTTTCCAATTATTTTACTTTTATTTTGTTTAGCTTTTATAGATAGTGTCATTTTAAAATGCTTGATTTTTTTCTGTTAATGTAACAAAATTGTATTCTCTTAGTAAAATAGATCAGAAACATGTAATAAAACAAGATTTATATAAGTTCTTCTTATAATAGTTCATAAATATCGAAAAATACCTAATCACAATATTTTTTTATAAGTGATTAAGGCAGGGACTGGAACCTTTTGAATTTATCTGTATCGGGTTCCGGTTGTACCCGCGATAATTTACCGGGTGAAATTTAACCTCAACCGGTAAATTATCCCAAGAAAAATTTTACCGGGGGTAAAATTTCACTAGAGAAAATACATTACTTATTTATCAAAACCAGCATTTTTTTTCACTTCAACACAACTTCAAGTGGTTAGAGTTTTTATGATTGAGGTAAATTGCCATTTTCTTGTAGTCTGGTTTAGCTGATAACTGCAACGAATGAGAGAATCTTAACCATTGATTTGCCGTGAAGGAATATATATCTGCATTAGGAAATGCAGCAGTAAAGTACATTTCTACTTCAGTCGCCCAAACTTTGTCACTTTCCATATTACTTTTAGCAATATAGTTTTGGGTATTGGAAAATTCTTCTACTTTGGTGTTTTGTTTTTTCATAAACTGTGTTATCAATTGTCTAACCTCATAGTGTTGCACTTCAGTGCCTGTGAGACTTAAAGATATAGCTCATTAGCTCATAGCTTATTTATATTAATCAATTATTTATACCAATACATTTAAAAGACATGATTTGTTTAAAACAATATAATACCTAATTATTATTCACACATATGATTCTGAAATTAACTTCAGTAATTAAGAAATTGGAAGAATATAAAAAAAAATTTTAACTGGGGTAAATATTTGCTAGTGAAATTTTACCCCGGAATATTCTCTAGGGATATTTTACCGGGGGGTCAAATTGCACTAGAGATATTTTGCCCCTGGAATATTTTACCGGGAGGTAAATATTCTCTAGTGAAATTTGCCGGGGGTAAAATTTCTCCAGAGAAAATTTACCGAGGGGGTAAAATTTCACGGGGTAAATAATCCCGGTTACACCGGTACTGTTTCTCCAAATATAAAAAGACTGCTCCGGTTCAGTTCTGGTTTTCAATAAAAAAAATAAAGGTATCGGTTCTAAACAATTTTGGTACCGGTTCCAGATAATTTAGATACCGAAAAAAAAATAATTTATTAAATACCTATCCGGTATGCGGGTTTAATTAATAAGTAGTAGGAGAAATATAAGAAAATTCATAAGACTACCTATACCTCGTACATAGTTTATACAGAAAACAGTAATACCATTAAATGATGATAAATAAAACTATTTTATTTTTGAACCTAAAAGAACCTATTTAATTTAAAAATGCATGTTTGGTTCCGGTACTTTTTTTTATCAAAATAAAGGTTCAAGTTCCAGAACTGGTTCTTTTAGTTTCGGTTCCGGCCGTACCTCAAACTCTAATGTATGAAAGTATGAAAATTATTTTGCAGATAGAAATTCATTAAAACGTTTTTTCTACCTTATACGTCCTAACAAAACAAAATTCTTACCAGAAGGTCATAATTCATTTAAAAAAAATATTTTGAATACAAAAATAATTAATTTAATTTAATGTTTATTTATTTCTTTAACGTTTACGGCATTTGATGTTCTTAATTTGGAAATACCTAGTAATTTCGTTAATAGAACAATATTTTAATATATAGGTAGTTGTAATTCAATAGTAAATAACTGACGATACTTTAAATTATCAACCAATTTTTTTTCTATCATGTTATATATAATGATAATACACTTAACATATTTGTATCTTTTTGAGCATTTTTAGACATTTTTATTTTTTGTTAACTAATTTTTTTTTTAAATATTGTTCGCTTGGTCAAATAGATTCTAAAATATTTAATTTAAAGTTCCTCAATAGTTAGTTCTTCATTATAACAATTTAATAATAATATAAGAGAAACATAACTACGATTATTTTTTATATCTATTTGAATTTAACAATTTGAACAAGTTTGCCAAAATCATAAAAATTATAATTTATTGTTATTAATTGTAAGATTACATTTTAGTTAAAAATGTATAAATCGTTAAATTTTATAGTTAAGACTTAAAAGTTAAGTACAAAGGTTGTTCATAACTCATAAGGGGTTAATCTTAGAACCAACAATTAAAAAATATATATAATATTCTTGATTTTTTTTAGACATCTGAAGTTCAAAATTGAATGAAACTTGATAGTATCGAATAATTCAAAATCAAATATTAACGATTTAAGTTATTTTGCTGTAATTCAAAAATATTTTTTGTGGAGATTCGAAACTTTTATTATTATTATTATATTTTATATAGGTACAGAATGAAATTTTTAAAACGTTTAGACTAATTTCATTGTATTTGTAATTTATACCGTTTAGTGTATTACTATAATTAGTAAAATAAATTACTAGGTATAAAATAATAGTAATTTATAAAAATATTTATATGATAATAATTAACTGTCAGTCTCCTCTCAGGATTTTTTTTTGTGTGCAAAAATGATCTAATATTATTCACATATTTTAACACATCCATTGCAGTGACTTAATGGTTCTACTCAATGATGAATGGATGAAATGACGGTGCATTTATACACTCGAATCCTACTGTACATTAAAGTGGTTAGGTTATGTATTCCTAGCATCTCATCTCCCTTTTTTAATTTATTGTTTACCTCGATCCCCAGTAGTTGTGAAAATCAGCAATTGGCTGTTTATTTATTACAATATTACTGTTATTATTATTTTATTTTATTTTTTTTGAGATTTATTATTAATTTATACAAAGCAAGTATTATAATGATTGGTATTGATTTAACTTTGGTAGATAGTTTAAAAATTGAACGTATCTGAAAAAAATTGTAGAGGGTGAAGGAAATACTGAGATTGAGTTATCTTTAGTGATAAGTCGTTGTTCATTGATTTTCTATAATATTTTCAGTATACAGAATATTTCCCTTCCAAACTTACAGAACCCGGATTATGGCCTATATTCTTGGCCCTGGGGCCACATACTTTAATGAGCACCATAGACAATTGTTTTTCTTGTACAATCAATATTTTTTATCTGAAACATTACAACCAAAATAAAACTAAAGTACATGCAATTTAAACATCCTGTACCACTACCAGCACTTGAATAACTTATAGATTCTAAAACGAATACTAAAAACAAAAATTAATCATTGAAATATTTAACAGTACCTTTAAATAAATTGGTTATATTGTTAAATTATTAGGTAAAAATGAATTTTTATATTAATTGATTTGTAAAATAACTAAATCACCATTAAAATCATATATATTTGTTTAAGTAATTTACCATTGTTGAAAATATTTGATATGTGTTATTGTTGATAGTAATTTTATTATATGCAGTATTTTTGAAAAATTTAGAAACCTTAGTTAATTTTTATAATGGAAGGTTTTCTATTCTTTTTTTGATTTTACAATGGTGTGTGTGTTTTAATTTTAGATTCTGAGTGGAACGATGAATGTATTGATTTTACAATGTTGTGTTTTTTTATTTTTATTTTTTATTTTTTATTTTTGTGTCTGTGTACACGATAAGTAGTCGAAATAATGCTTTGACTTTCAACTTCAGTATCTTCTTCGATTAGAAAGTGAATATCGTTGGTGCCTTGAGGAGGTCAAAATTTAAAATTCCCAGTAATTTTCAAAAGCACCAAGAAAAATTAAGAAAAAAAGGGAATTTTTACGCAAAATCAATTTTTCACAAAATTGAATTTGGTTTTTGGTGTAACTTTAAAACAAACGACGGTAGATACATTCAATTTTCACTGGTTGTTTATATTTTCATTTTCTATAGACGATAACATTTTAAAAATATTTAAATTTATTTTGAACTGTTTATTGACATTTTCATTTTCCTTTTTTTTTTTTAGAATATGTAATAATGTTGTAATTTAAACATATTATTTGCTGGTACTTACAACTTTTATAGCAAGCTAGTGCAAAAAATTATAATTATCTTAGGTACTGTGTAAGTCTGGTGATCAAAAACAATGTGGAAATTTCAGATTTATTGCTTTAACTGTTCAAAAAATACTTGAGAAATGTACCTATCAATTATCCAAGATTAATACGACTTTTAGATAAACATACATTTTTTTCATTTAATCAATTTGATTTTCTCTCAAATATATGTGTACTATTGATTATTTTACTAAAACATCTAATTGTATCAATAGTAATTTAGATAAAAAAATTTAAAGTTGTTGATATTTTTCTGAATGTCACTGCGTGAATCACGAATTATTAATTAAAAAAATAGAATGTTGTGGTATAAACGTCAATGATTTTAATTTAATTAAAACATTTATTTCTGTCAGACTTCAACAAGTAACACTAAATGGATTACTTAGTGATGTAAACACAAATTGTTTCTCAGTACCTACCTCAAGGTACAGTACTTGTCTCTGTCTTATTCATTATATACATAAACAGACTTTTAAATATAAAGCTTTATGCCGAATATTTTTGTTATGAGGATGATATAGTTATTCTGACCAAAAGTCATAACTCATAACTATAACAATTTATATACAATAGCTAATTACTGCCTATATGCAATAAAAGACAGTTGTGATAATAATAATTTTCAGCTAAATGTATTTAAATCGAAATATATAGTTTTTAATATTACGAATAGTTCATATTATATTATACGCACTTATTTTTCTCTGGGCTCTCTTATAAATGTAAGTATTTAAATCATCTTTGTGATTGTTTACCTTTGCATAGAGTTTATTGTATTTAAAATCTTGGAGTATACTTTGATCATAGACTTAAATTTATTGGACATATTTATCATGTTCATAATCTTCTTAGAAAGTTATTATAAAATTAGTTTCAAATTCTCAAAAATATGATAGATATTAGAGATCTTAGAGTTATCTATTTAACTATTGTTCATTTAATTTCTTGTATTGTGGTTTATTATGGGGAATGGGGATGTACATACTCCACACATATTCATGTTATTTCTACTAATATTAATTTATTGATTAAAATTATACTTTGAAAACCATAATTGTTTCCTACTATTTTAATTTACTCAGCGTTTAAAGTTAAAACTATTCAAGTTTATGAATGAGGGATTTCATTGTCTATGTAATATTGTAATAATATGTATTTTGTAAATATAAGTCAATTTCTAAGAAATTCTAAGAAAATTATTAACATAATAATTTATATGGCACACACCGGTTTGATTAAAAAAATTTTTTTGTGGTTACAAATTGTTACATAAAATATTAAGTAATACCAATCGGTTTTCAAGTCGAAATGTTGTCCTTGGGGTGCCAGTGTAACACACCTATAAAATTGTAAAGCTAAGTCTTTGTAGTATAGTTATCATATATGTTAAAGTAGTCTGCTAAATATCTTAACTTAGTTTGGCGATTTTAAAGTGTTTACTTGATTAGTAATACACTGTCTATTTCAATGATAGTTGACTATATTATTATGTATTCATTATATAATATACGTTGGTACTCATATCATTTTAGATTCAGAGTGGAACGATGAATGTATTGATTTTACAACGA